GACAAACCCAACGGTGAAGCCCATGCGAGGTGAAAGGTGGTGGGGTGGGGAGGTGTCTTGCTGGCGGTCGCGGGCGCCACCTCAACGCGGCAGCTCGTGCCGTCCGCATCGCCCCGTGCTCCCTCCTCACGAGCCGCCCGTTTAATTTCGCAGCCGGGAGATTCCTATCTCACCGAAATATTTCCTGGCTTGCCGCCTGACTGGGTGAGGTGGCACGGGACTCGTAGCCGCGGGCAAAGCCGCCAGCAGGGGGGCGGGGGCAGCAGAGGGGGCCGCTCCACCCTAGACGTCGCACAAGGGGGCTCCACGACGGGGCATCCTGCCCCGGAGATTCCTGGAAGCCTTGGGTGGCCGCGGTCACAGCGGTGGGGTGGGGGAGCCAACCCCTCTGTCAGGTGGAACCGTCCCCGAGTCGCGCGCGCGGAAGGGACGCGCTGCTGCTGTGTCGTCGCCTTCGCTGCCACTGCTGTGAATATTCGCAAATGCACTGAACTCCCCCCACCCCACCCTCACGGATGTGAACTTTGCGAATCGGCTGCGGCCCCCTGTGGGGAGCGCAATGTGCCTTAACTCCGCGTTGTCGCAAATATTCCACGATGCCGCGACCGCTACTCTCTCACGCTCGGACTCGGTGGTGCGGCTGGCGCGGGGCCGGTGCGACCTGGGTCGCCGTGACCTGGGTCGTCGTGACCTGGCTCGTCGTGACCTGGGTCGTCGTGACCTGGGTCGTCGTGATCTGCGAACGGAGCTTCGGGCCCTGGCCGAGGAAGGGGGGCGTCCGAGGGTCGTGTGGCCTCATCCCGAGGGCCGCTGCGAGCGAGGGTCCTAGGCTGACGAGAGCGGCGGTTTTGAAATGCAACAAAAAATCAAAACGCAGCAGTCCCATTCTATTTTTGGTACAAATCTGATATACGGGCAAGTGGGTGGGTAGCCTGGAAGTTTTGAGAGTAGGGTAGGGGGGTGGGTAGCCTAGTCGTGTGGGTGAATAGGGTAGGGGGTGGGTGAGTAGGGTAGGGGGTGGATATGGTAGGGGGGGGTAGCCTAGTGCTGTGGGTGAGTATGGTAGGGGTGGGTGGCCTAGTTGTGTGGGTGAGTCAGAGAGGTGGGTAGGTGTTGGATGTAGGTAGGTGGGTAAGGTAGGTTGGTGGATGGTAGGTGGGAGGGGTAGCTTGACTCGTGTGGGTACAGAGGTGATAAGGTGGGTGTGTAAGTAATTGATTTGATTTTAATGGATAATCTTTTTCAAAATGACAATAATCGCCCTTGTGGAGTCTGATCACCTTCGTTGTACATGCATCGACTCGCCTGCTCTCGCACGCACGCCCCGATGCACGAATCACGATTGCAAGAATCGATGTCAATCAAATATGCATTCTATTTATATATACCTAGTAGGTAGATAGAGGAGTGGGTAGGTGGGTGGACAGGTCCGTATATGGTTGGGTAGGTACGTGGGCGCACCGGTGGACGTAACCCATCTCTGGGTGTCTTTTGAGATCTGTTTACACAGCTCCGGTTTTTCTCAAAGTTCAATAAACGTACCCCGTGCCATATACCGTCTCCTCTGCTTGGATTCATCATCGGCCGCGCGCGACACGCAGCGCTGTCGCGTGCACCAACCCGCCCGGGCAGCGTAAACAACCGCGCCGGCGTTGACATTGAGCTGCCAGGCGTCTCCTTGGGCCCACGGAGCCAAGGCCTCGCCGTGTCGCCAGCTCTGGCGGTGTCGCCAAGGACGGACGAGGAGTGACGCTCAACGCTGGCTCCTCGCGTCCACTGTTGTTCCGGTCCTTTGAGCAGAGCAGCTCAAGAGCAGCAGAGTCAATGAGCATTGCGGCATCGGCGCTCGGCTCCTGTTTAGAGCCCTGCAGAGCCAGTGGTAAATAATCCACATTGCTGTGCCAGGGGCGAGTATCCCCATAGGGTAACCACTGTTGACTTCCCCCACAGTGGTAGCCATTTGAATGACCCAGGAGGAAGGGATAATGGGCTGAGCCAACTCCCTACCTATCAGGGTTAGAACTCGCGACCTTCTGATTGCGAGCGGTGAAATCTCCCGCTAAGTCACCCAGCTGGTTCGGAAAAGTTTAGGGCAGTTATTGCCGACAATTCCTATCACTGGCAAAAGCTGCCGAACTATTCTGCATTGTAAAACAAATCCCATAGCTGCTGTCCCTCGCATAAATCACATGACTGCCCAAGGATGTGTATACTGTTGACCAATCACAGTTTATCTTTTCGATAAACTCTGTGGGCCCTGGGCAGACTCCACTCAGTCACTCTACCATGGCCATACCAAGTCACGGTAAACAAGTTGCCGGTGACAGTTGCTGACGAACGCCCGAGAGGATCACGGTCCTTGTGGACGAACCTGGAGGCTGGCATCACAAGCGGCTCTGAGCAGCCGGTTGGTACGAACCACTGGCCACAGCCCCCAGAGACACGAGGCAACGTACGGGGGTCACACCGGGGCCTCGCTGTCGCGCGTTGGCCGCTCGTTGCAGAGGTTCGCGGTTCAAATGCAGCGCCCGCCCTGATTAATACTGCGGGCGTATAAACCATACAAATACAACGCGTCTGTAGATTCCGTTTATTTTTTGTGAGGCCCATTGAGCCGAGCAGCTACATTTTTGTTCCAACGGTCACGCAGCCAAAACGACTTCGTCCGCTCAACAGTGCACGTCAAAGATCCCATGGCGTCATTCCCAAGAGCAGGCCATTGTGTGCCGACGTCACGGATCACATTCACCACGTTTGAATAATTAAACCGCAAATTTCTCGATGGGAATGTACGTGGCAATGTATTCCCCCTTCCTGCAAAGACTTGGCAGGACCCTCCTCAAAAAACGTCACGAGGGTAAACAAGCGCAACACTCATCCCTACAGCGCTCCTCGCGACTCGGGGTTCAAAGTCACAAATGAAGTTCGACACTCGTGCCGCACGAGCCCGCGCAGGTTTCCGCACACGACCACCAGAGATTCCACTCCGTTAGTTGCGTCGCGTTTTTCTGTACAATGAGACTTGGGATGCGAGTGAGAGCCGACCTCGCGTGGAACGATCGTGAGCACCGCCAAATGTACAATTGCTTGTTTTTTTTACAGTGTACAGCATAGTTGTACTGTACACGCACCTGTTTTGACTTTGCATATACATGTACAGTTTTACACGTACGCTTTGCACGTACAAGTTGACACGGATGCGTGGCGATGACGCCTTGGTGTTCTCGTGCGTCTTCAATGCCAGTCGAACTCTCTCCCAGGCCATTGAGCGGTTTGTCTCAGCGAGGCGACGCCTCTATTTATAAACAATTAAGGAAACTATAATTTTAACGCCTCTCTTAGGTCGCTAGAACGAAACCAACAATACAAACATTCTGCGCGGACGAGAGAGACCGTGCAAGAGAGAGGGTATGGATGACACCGACGGTCACGAGACACACGGACTCGAGAAGCCAAACGAAATTAATAAATTCTTAGAATGGAACCTGTCAGCCCCCAATCCGGCAATTCGTGGAATCGCTGAAGGGTGAATAGTTCGGTGGTCTGGGTGGAGGGGGGGCGGCCGCTACTTGAGCAGGTGGTTGAGTTGATCGAGGACGTTTGGGGAGATCTCAACGCTGGGGTGGGGGTTGGGGGATTGTGGGGGGAGAGACGGGACATCACGGCGAGTGAGTTGGAGCGTGGGTGGGTGGTAGTTATTATTATTTATTATTGCTCCGCAGTATGAATCAGGGCAGCCGCTGGATTCGACCAGTGAACTTCTGCAACAAGTGGTGAACGCACTACCACCGGGCCACATCACCACTAGCGTGTGTGCATGCCAAGGTCAACTCAGCCTCAAATGAATCCCTGTGGTTTTGTGCATGTGGGTGTACACAGGAGCGGTAGGCAGTGGTTGGCACACCGCATTACAAACCCTAAGACTGAGTTTTAATCCCAGCCACGTCTAACATCCGTGGTCAGTGATACCTGAACACGTCAACTTGAAATGAGTATCTGGAATGGTGTGTATAATCACCAGCACTGGAGAGACAAAGGTGGCCGGGCGTGGTGCGTTATACACCACCCCCTTGTGTGCCCTTAAAAGGTGCTGCTCGCTCACGGCCTGTGTAGGCTACACGGCAATTGTCACCTTGACGTTTGTGTCTGCACGGACGGCTGACGCTACTCACTTTTTCTGTATGGACTCCTGCCTGTGGACACGCGCACACACACGCGCGTACACACACACGCGAGACTCGATGTTAGCGATGCTGCTCATCACGAGCAGTGCACGTGTATGCGTCACAGTGCCAGCATTGGTAAGCGACGTACAATCACGTATACGTGCGTAAACATGCACATGTAATCAAGGACACGAGCACACGCGCGCACGTACTGGTATTGGAGATGCGACGTTATTATCTGCATCTTTTTCATGTTCTGTAAAAAACACACACACACACGAGTCGTGCTCAAGGAGAGTGCACTCTCACCAACATCATCGTCACCACCATCACCACCTCCACGTGGCAGGTGGAAGCTCTCCGCTCGTCAATATCGACGCCAAGGTTTCGCTCGGCGGCCGTCGACAGCCCAAGGGCAGCGGACGCGAGGTCGCGTGTGCGGCCCCCGCGCCCCACAAACACCGCCTCACCTCCACGCGCGCTGCAGGAACCCGCGGCCCGCATCTCCACTCGTCGGCGTGGACTTTTCGGATGGCTACTCGACTGACATTAATTTGTAAAAGGTCGCGTTTAAATCGATTGGTTTGCCCCTGTGATGTCATGAATGCCATTGACTCGTTGTGAGAACTGTTCTCCGACTCACCCGGTAAGCGAGCTGGAACAATCGTAATTGGCCCATTCAACGCGAGTGCTTAATTTGTTTGGCTCCGTTAGGTGGTGGAGGGTTACCAGGCAATATATTTGGTCGGATCATTTCGTGGCCTGACCAGAAAATCAATTGTGAATTATAGCCTCACCTGAGAGCGGAGACTCTCCACACTTGAGAGGCAGCGGCTGCGACCGGCTTTGAACCCAGCGTCTCAGCCGGCTGAGCATCGCTGACCCCTGAGACACTCGGTCACCTCGGAGCCGATTTAGAAATTGGATCATCGTCCAATGAAGTTGGCTGACTGAGCTGTGGCCGGGTGGAGTTGCTGTGGTCGAGTGAGTGGTTGTGGCCGGGTGGAGTGGTTGTGGCGGGGTGAGTGGTTGTGGCGGGGTGAGTGGTTGTGGCGGGGCTGTGATGAGGGCAGCACGGACTCACATCTTCAGATCTCAGGAGGGCATCCTCTTGGGCGGCCATGTTGCGTGCTGCCTGACCCAGGAGCTACACAATACAACACCACACATCACACACACCACACTGGTTACACACCACACAATACAACACCACACATCACACACACCACACTGGTTACACACCACACATCACACACACAATACAACACCACACATCACACACCACACACCACACACACCACACTGGTTACACACCACACAATACAACACCACACATCACACACCACACTGGTTACACACCACACATCACACACCACACAATACAACACACCACACATCACACACACCACACTGGTTACACACCACACATCACACACCACACAATACAACACCACACACCACACACACCACACTGGTTACACACCACACATCACACACCACACAATACAACACCACACATCACACACACCACACTGGTTACACACCACACATCACACACACCACACTGGTTACACACCACACATCACACACCACACAATACAACACCACACACCACACATCACACACACCACACTGGTTACACACCACACATCACACACCACACAATACAACACCACACATCACACACACCACACTGGTTACACACCACACATCACACACCACACAATACAACACCACACATCACACACACCACACTGGTTACACACCACACATTACACACCACACAATACACCACACATCACATCACACACCACACATCACACACCACACATCACACACCACACATCACACACCACACCACATCACACACCACACATCACACACCACACATCACACACCACACATCACATCACACACCACACATCACACACCACACATCACATACACACCACACATCACACACCACACATCACATCACACACACCACACATCACTTACACATCACACACACCACACATCACACACCACACATCACATCACACACACCACACATCACACACCACACATCACACACGCAGCACACCACACATCACATACACAGCACACAATACAACACCACACAGGTTATACTGCACACACAACACAAACACCACTCACGCGACGCGCTATCCCACTGCAGTACAATGACGTTCACCGACTATGTCAACAGGAACATGAGTCCCGTGTCTCCCCAGGTCGTCTCCCCGTGCCGTGTCCCCGTGTCCCCGTGCCGTCTCCCCCCAGGCCGCGTCTCCCTGTCTCCCCGTGCCGTGTCTCCCTGTCTCCCCGTGTCCCCGTGTCCCCCCGTGCCGTGTCCCCGTGTCACCTCTGCGCTGCGGGACCCCTTGAGGATCTGCCGCGAGAGCGAGACGAGGTCCGCGGTGCCGGAGGCGACCTTCTCGCCCAGCAGCGACTTGGCCGTGACGCCGAACGGGCCGGGACCCGGAGCGGGAGCAGCACTCGCCATCCCCCCCCCTCCTCCCTCTTCTCCCACTCCTCTCCTCGTCCTCCTCCTCTCCTCCTCCCCCTCTTCTCCCACTCCTCCTCCTGCCGTCTCCTCTTCTCCCACTCGTCCTCCTCCTCCTCTTCTTGCCCCTTCCTCTCTCACTATTCGCCTCCTCCTTCGCCTACATCGCAGGGACCGTGGCCATTTGCGCCGTCAGCCAAAGGCGGGGACCGCGTCAAACTGCCTCGCCAGAGGAGTTCCCCCCACCCCCACCGCCCCCCCACTGCATTTAACTAAAACCAAACACACCCGCCAAGTCTGGCACTGCTGATGAGGCCTTCAAGGTCGAAACCGGTACAAGGGTTTTGGTCATTGATGTGTGGAGTTTGTTGTTGTAGTAAATCGGCGAAGTATGGATGGGAAAAACGGACTCTGGCAAAAAGCAGGGAGGAGGAGAGGGGAGCAGAGAGGAGCAGAGGGGAGCAGAGAAGAGCAGAGAGAAGCAGAGGGGAGCAGAGAGAAGCAGAGGGGAGCAGAGAGGAGCAGAGAGGAGCAGAGGGGAGCAGAGAGGAGCAGAGAGGAGCAGAGGGGAGCAGAGAGAAGCAGAGGGGAGCAGAGAGAAGCAGGGAGGAGCAAAGGGGAGCAGAGAGGAGCAGAGAGAAGCAGAGGGGAGCAGAGAGAAGCAGAGGGGAGCAGAGAGAAGCAGAGGGGAGCAGAGAGAAGCAGAGGGGAGCAGAGAGAAGCAGAGGGGAGCAGAGAGAAGCAGAGGGGAGCAGAGAGAAGCAAAGGGGAGCAGAGAGGAGCAGAGAGGATCAGAGAGAAGCAGAGGGGAGCAGAGAGGAGCAGAGAGAAGCAGAGGGGAGCAGAGAGAAGCAGAGGGGAGCAGAGAGAAGCAGAGGGGAGCAGAGAGAAGCAGAGGGGAGCAGAGAGAAAAGAGGGGAGCAGAGAGAAGCAGAGGGGAGCAGAGAGAAGCAGAGGGGAGCAGAGAAAAGCAGAGGGGAGCAGAGAGAAGCAGAGGGGAGCAGAGAGAAGCAGAGGGGAGCAGAGAAAAGCAGAGGGGAGCAGAGAGAAGCAGAGGGGAGCAGAGAGAAGCAGAGGGGAGCAGAGAGGAGCAGAGGGGAGCAGAGAGGAGCAGAGAGGATCAGAGAGAAGCAGAGGGGAGCAGAGAGAAGCAGAGGGGAGCAGAGGGGAGCAGAGAGAAGCAGAGGGGAGCAGAGAGGAGCAGAGGGGAGCAGAGAGGAGCAGAGAGGATCAGAGAGAAGCAGAGGGGAGCAGAGAGAAGCAGAGAGGAGCAGAGAGGAGCAGAGAGAAGCAGAGGGGAGCAGAGAGAAGCAGAGGGGAGCAGAGAGAAGCAGAGGGGAGCAGAGGGGAGCAGAGAGGATCAGAGAGAAGCAGAGAGAAGCAGAGACGAGCAGAAGGGAGCAAAGAGGAGCAGAGGGGAGCAGAGAGAAGCAGAGAGGAGCAAAGAGGAGCAGAGGGGAGCAGAGAGGAGCAGAGGGGATCAGAGGGGAGCAGAGAGGAGCAGAGAGAAGCAGAGAGGAGCAGAGGGGAGCAGAGACGAGCAGAAGGGAGCAAAGAGGAGCAGAGAGAAGCAGAGGGGAGCAGAGAGAAGCAGAGAGGAGCAGAGAGAAGCAAAGGGGAGCAGAGAGAAGCAGAGAGGAGCAAAGAGGAGCAGAGGGGAGCAGAGAGAAGCAGAGAGGAGCAGAGGGGAGCAGAGACGAGCAGAAGGGAGCAAAGAGGAGCAGAGGGGAGCAGAGAGGAGCAGAGGGGAGCAGAGAGAAGCAGAGAGGAGCAGAGAGAAGCAGAGAGGAGCAGAGGGGAGCAGAGAGAAGCAGAGGGGAGCAGATGGGAGCAGAGAGAAGCAGAGGGGAGCAGATGGGAGCAGAGAGAAGCAGAGGGGAGCAGAGGGGAGCAGAGGGAAGCAGCGGGGAGCAGAGGGGAGCAGAGAGGAGCAGAGGGGAGCAGAGAGAAGCAGAGAGGAGCAGATGGGAGCACTGACAAGCACCGGGAGAGGGGCTGAGGAGGGACGTGTGGATCGCAGGCCACACGGAGAAGTGGCTCCGCATTCAGAAGGGAGACGGCGAATTGCCCTTTGCCTGGACTCGTCGTGGCGAGCAGCAGGGATCATTGGCGGTGGACGAGGCTGGTGACGGAATGGCAGCCCACGGAGGGGGGACGTGCCCGAGAGGACGACCACCCGTGCGGATGGAGCGACGTTGCTGCTGGTGCCACGCCAACGCGACCCTGGGGCGAGTTGGACAGCCCCGGCGGGCGGGAGGAGCGAGACGGACAACAGCGAAGGCGCAGCAGCCAGGAGAGCGAGTGGGGGGGGGGGGCTGGGAGTGGGGGGCTGGGAGTGGGGGGCTGGGAGGGGGGGGCTGGGAGTGGGGGGCTGGGAGTGGTGGCGGTAAGCGCGGTCGCCGTGCGCATGTGGACCGTGACCGTGACCGTGACGCGACTCCCCCCCCCTCCACGTGCTATCAATGACCCCCCCCCAACCCAATGCTGCATCACCAGCACCACCAGCACCACCATCACCACCATCACTCACTCACCTGCGGCATCGCGGGCGCCGGGAGCTCCCTCCTCACTCGCCGCCGGCCTCTTGCGCCGCAGCGCGGGCCCCGCTGGGGTGGTGCCGAGTCCACAGTCGCACTCGGTCCCAAGCTGGGCTCGGTCATTGGGAGCGTCCAGGTGAGAGGCGGCGGGGTGCGTGAAGTGGGGCTGTTGAGTTGTGTCTGTGTGTGTGTGTCTGTGTACACGTGTGTCTGTGTACACGTGTGTCTGTGTGTGTGTCTGTGTACACGTGTGTCTGTGTGTGTGTCTGTGTACACGTGTGTCTGTGTTTCTGGGACTGTGTACACGTGTGTATGTGTACACGTGTGACTGTGTGTGTGTCTGTGTGTGTGTCTGTGTACACGTGTGTCTGTGTTGCTGGGACTGTGTACACGTGTGTCTGTGTACACGTGTGACTGTGTGTGTGTCTGTGTGTGTGTCTGTGTACACGTGTGTCTGCGTGTGTCTGTGTACACGTGTGTCTGTGTACACGTGTGTCTGTGTCTGTGTGTGTCTGTGTTGTGACTGTGTACACGTGTGTCTGTGTGTGTCTGTGTGTGTACTACTGCGGGGAGCGGTAGTGTAGCGGTGAGCGCGCTGCGCTACGAACCCGGCGACCCAAGTTCGATTCCCACTCACGAACACATATCTGAACAAGTACCGGGCCTCCCCTAGGTCGACTCAGCCTCAAATGGGTTCCTGGTGGGATGTGTGAGCATCTCCACTGGGGAGACAAAGGCGGCCGGGCGTTGTGCTGGCCACCCACCTCCTCGTGTGCCGTACCGGCCTTAATAGATAACAAAGTCAGAGTGATTCCTTTTCAAATGCCTTGCTGAGCCAGTGGTGTAAATTCCACGTTCCTATGACGCGCGGTGTGGAGTTGATGCATAGGACAACCGCTGTTGACTTGCCGAACAAAATGGTAGCTATTTTATCGACCCCGGAGGAGGGATGATAGGAATGAGTGAACCCCCACCCTGACGAGGATTTGAACTCGCAACCTTGCGATTGCGAGCCGCTCGTTCTGCCACTGCGGCACGTGGCCGATGACAGTATAATACTGCGTACAGTGCTATAGGATTACTTGCATTATGGATAGGCGCATTGTTCACGTTGGTGCTCGTGCTAGTGCTAGTGCTCGTGCTAGTGCCTTACGCTAATAACTCTTACTCGAAGCCAGCCAGCCTCAGCAGCGTCCCAGACAACACCGAGATGAGAACTCAATCTTTGATCATCATTTATTCATCATCATCGTCGACGTGATCAGCTCGTCATGAGTAACAACGTTCAGCTTTGTTCTCCACTCTTAAGCGGAAGCCTCCCAACGCCGTGTCGGTCATCGGGGTAGTTTGACCATACTTCACCGCGTGGGTCTGTAACCATTACAGAGGGGGCTGTGGGAGACAACGCGATGCCGCCGCTGCTGCTGCTGCTGCTCGTGGTGGTGGTGGTGTCTCTTCTGGTTGCATCTTCCCGCCTCTTCGCCCGCTCTCGCCCTGACCCCGGGAAGGGCAGCGGGGTTGGGGGCAGCGACAGGGCAGCAGGGCCTGCCGGTGCTGCTGCTGCCCTTACGGCTCCGCCCTGCCTGCCCTGCCTGCCCTTGCTGGGCAGCCTGCACATGCTCGCCGGGCGCGGCGCTCTGCACTTGACGCTGCACGAGCTCGCCAAGCGGTAGGAGTCACGGGACCAGCGCACCTCGGTTCGATCCCCAGGTCACCCAAAGCTGCCAGGGCCCCCCAGAGGTGCCTGGGGAGGTCCGGGCAGAATGCCGCGTGGGGTCGGCCTCCTCATCCCACCGTCCACAGGGAGGCTCGCTCTGGGGCCCTTTGTGTGAGGCCCCTGGGGGAAATCTTCCCCTCTGTGTGGCCCTGAAAGCTGACATCATTTAATGATCGCAACACTGCAGTGGTCTTCAGTCGGGCACTCTTGCGAACGACGTCTGGTAAATCGGCAGTATTTGTTTAACGAGTCTCGCCCTGCTGATGAGACCCAGAATTTCTAAACCGGTTCAGAGACTTCCTGCTCGAATAAACCGGTTCAGAGACCGCCGGCTCGAACAATTGCTGCTGGATGTAGATGAAGCGGTGGTCGACAGCGCTGGGCTCTGCGTTCACCCGCGCCCTGCCCCCCCCCCCCAGGCACGGCCCCGTGTTCGCGCTGCGCCTGGGAGCGCACCGCGCGCTGGCGGTGTGCGCCCTGGGCCCCGCGCGGGAGGTGCTGCTGCGCAAGGGACGCGCGTTCGCGGGGCGAGCTCGCATGGTGAGGCCGGCGGCAGCGGCGGCACGAATGTCACCACCAACATTGATCCTAGCCACCACCACCACCACTCCCTTCACTATCACCATCCTCACTCACTCCCAGACCACCGTCACCAACTCCACCATCACTAACATCCTCTATCCTCACGAACTCCATCACCGCCGCTCCAATGTCTCGATGTTGTGTGCCGGGCCGCAGGTAAGCACGGACCTGGTGAGTCACGGAGGACGCGACATCGCCTTCGCGGACGCGAGCCCCGCGTGGCGCTTCCACCGCAAGGTGGTGCACTCCGCGCTGTACGGGGCCAGGCCGCCCGGGGAGGACTCCCTCCACGACATCGGTGAGCGCTGCGCTCACCACGCCGCGCTCACCGCGCTCACCGCGCTCACCACGCTCACCACGTCCACCCCCCACACTCACGATGTAAACACTCGCACCGTGATTCTGTGGACCATGCGGTCCCAGTGCCCGCGGTTCCACTCGGCACACAGCGAGCCAAGAAGAGGAGGCGGCACGGGACCACACACACGGCCTCGGGATCCATGCGTCCGCCTGGTTTTGCCAAAATCCTCACCAAAAATAAACTCTCACGTGACAACTGCGTAACGCGCCCTGCGCGTTAGGGCGTGAAGAGTCCAAGAGGCCAGGCCGGGCACCTCGCGTGTGGGAAACACCGCAGGGTGGCGTGATCATTACAGGGCGCGCGGTATAATGAGCGCCAGGCCCCGTGTGCCGCTAACGGTGAAGCGACTTGAGGTGGTACCGACGTCTGTTCTGATGCATGGACCAAGAGAGTACGGTAGGTGTTAGGGCACCCGGGAGGGGGGGGGGGTTAGAGCGCCAGCCTGTTAACAAGTAGGCTCCCTGAGCCGAGTGGCTCACCGGCTTGCGGCTCCCTTCGTCGAGCCCCGCGGGGCAGGGGCTGGCTGCGTCGAGCCGTCACGCAGTGGCCGGAGCGTGGCCGCGTGTGTTGCAGTGAGCCGGGAGGCGCGGGGCCTCGTGGCCTGCCTGGAAGCCGCGGGGCGCAGTGGGGCGCGCGCCGTGGACCCGGAGCCGTGGGTGGCGCGCGCGGTCACCGCCGCGATGCTCGCGCTCGTGTTCGGCGCCGCGGACCCCAGGGCCCCCGGGGCCCCCGAGGCCCCCGAGGTGGAGCGCGTGCTGCACTTCAACCGCGGCATCGTGGAGACCGCAGCCCGAAACCACCCCGTGGACCTCTTCCCCTGGCTCCAGGTGAGCGGAGACGGGAGAGCAAGGTGGGGGGGGGGGGGGTCCGGAGAGAGAAGGGAGGGGTCATGAGAGATAGAGGTCGAGAGTCTGTGGGCGAGTGTGGAGGGAAGAGCTGTGAACCGCCGTGTGGATGTGATGAACCTCTGCGAATGCGCGCGTGCGAGGGCGCAGTGGGTCACGCACTGCGCTACGAACTCGGCGACCCGCGAGTTGCATTCCCGCTCACGACCAATGAGAGTGCCGAATATTTTAACCAGTCCTGGGCCTCCCCTAAGTCGATTCAGCCTCAAATAATGACTCTGGTATTGGGGAGTCGAACGCGATCAGGCGTGGTGTTGACCACCATTGTTATCGTGTGCCGTGTCGGCCTTAATAGGCGCTCGCTAACAGCACTTGGCCCATTCGCCTTTGTCGGCTACCCGGAGAATCCTTGCCTGTGTGCTGCGCTCCTCTCAGGTGTTCCCCATTGCGCACCTGAGGCGACTGCGCGCGTGTGTGGCCGTGCGAGACGACTTCCTGCAGCAGAAGCTCAACGAGCACAAGGTGATCGTCACCAGCACCGTCAACTTCATCATCATCTTCATCATCACCGTCATCTTCATCATCACCGTCAACTTCATCATCACCACCACCACCGTCACCATCACCGTGCCCACGTGGACCGTGCTCATCATCGCGCGCGCTCGTGCCAGGCCACGGGACCCGAGCACGGAGCGCGCGCGCTGCTCTCGCTGCTGCTGGAAGCGCGGCGCGAGGCGGAGCGCGGCGAGGAGGGTGCAGGGCAGGGTGCAGCGGAGGGTGCAGGGGAGGGTGCAGGAGGCGGCGAGCCGAGCGCGCTGCAGCAGCACGCGCGCCGCCTCACCGACGACCACGTGATGATGACCGTGGCCGACGTCTTCGGCGCCGGCGTGGAGACCACGGTGACGTCACTGCGGTGGCTCCTCGCTTACCTGGTGCACCACCCCGAGGCGCGTGCCGTGACGCACACTCACCTGCACACCCGCAACACTGAACTGTATACAAAGGCAAAGGTTCTCCGTATAGCCTTAACAGACTGCTCAAGCATATTTACAGCAGGTCCTTATTTTTGGTTGAGTCGACCTCGAGGAGACCCAAGACCGGTTCAAATGTTGCTCCCTGTTTTAGGCCGTTAGCGGGAAATTGGGCGCATCACTAACCAGTCGTCCCACCGCTCCCCCCCCCCCCCCGTGCCACGCACTCCCAAGCAGGTGCAGGCGCGAGTCCACGCGGAGCTGGACGTGGTGGTCGGGGCGGAGCGCGCCCCCCGCGCCTCGGACCGCACCGCGCTCCCGCAGCTCGCGGCGGCCATCCTGGAGACGCAGCGCGTGCGGCCCGTGGCGCCGCTCCTCATCCCGCACGTGGCCATGGAGGACACCTCGTACGGGGGGTGGGGGGGGCACGGGGGGGGGGGGGAGCGTGGGAGGTCGAGGGATTAATGTGGGTACGGGGGGAGAGGACACGTGGGAAAGGGGCCAAGCGCGGAAGTATGGGGCAAAGGGTCACGTGGGCCACAGGGAAACCACGTAGGGGGCACGGGGTCACCACATAGGGGTCACTACATAGGGGTCACCGTGTAATAGGGGATGTAGACACGAGGGTGTATGGGTGGAGGACACGGGAGTGTGACCTAAACAGGACCGTGATGGAGGGGGTAGAGATGGAGGACACGCAACCTGTGTATGTGCGTTGGAACTTCTTTCGCACCGTATGTAGCCAACGGTGCTAATTGGATGTGCAGGGGGATTACTGGGGATTTAGGGGGGCCGGGAACTCGGGGGGCCGGGAACATGGGGGGCATGAGGACCCGATGTTTTGCTCACCCCTCCTCTCGCCTTGCCCCTACTCTGTGCACCCCCACTCCCCACAGGGTGGGGAATTTCGCGGTTGCCAAGGGAACGCGCGTGCTCGTGAACATGTGGTCCATCCACCACGACGAGACGGCGTGGCCCGACCCCGAGCGCTTCGACCCAGGTCCACTCCTGCTCCCGTCTCCTGTCTTACATCTCCGACTCCTCCTGTCTGCCGTCTCTCATCTCCCATTTTCTCGTCCAGTTTCCCATCTCCCATTTCCCATCTCCCAGTCCCATCGCCCGGGCCGTCAGGTGCCCCTCTGCCGTTTGATCTCCGTGACGAATGCAGTGGCCCGCGATTCGGCTGTGGTGAACCCCTGTCTACAGCTGCTGCTGGGTAGACAGAGGCAGTGGGAACCTTGCTCCATTGTTTCAGCTGCCGCGCAACCGGCGACCTCTGGATCACATGTCCAGCGTGCGAACCGTTGCTGTACTGTGGCAGCTGCCTCCTGCAGCCTCCTCCCCCTCAGAGTATCACCGTGAACAATATAAATCCACCGCTTTATTGTATCATCAGCATCGCCATCGTCGTCTCGCCACCACCCATTAGGTGTGTAACCAAGGCACACCACATCCTTCGGTTGACCCCTCGCCGTGGCTACTCGTCACGCGCCACCGAGCCAGCAACCCGGGAGTGGTGGGCATCCTTTGGATCGGTGCGCCTGGGATGTCTCTGGGGCGGCCGGGCCCCCAGTCACTGCACAACTCTCAACTCAACCCCACGCGGAGTCACGGCCTTCGCGAGGAGGCCATCAACCGACTGCGTGGCTTTAAGATTTCTCAGGACGCCATCTAAATCCATCATCGACCCCCCCCCCCCCCCAATATGGATCACGTGATCCAAACTCGATTGCCGCCCCCTCCCATTGGGTCACGTGACCCAAATTTCAGTGCCCCCCCCCCCCCCCAAAACTCCAAACCCTGCTAATCCAGTCTCTCCTCTCCCCATGTCGCCCTCCGCCGCTCCCCACTAGGCCGCTTCCTGCGCTGGGAGGGGGGGCGGCTGCAGGCGGGGGCCCCCGAAGGTTCCTCCTTCCTGCCGTTCGGGGGGGGGCCCCGCGTGTGCCTGGGGGAGCCCCTCGCACGCCTGCAGCTGCTGCTCATGTCCGCCGCCCTGCTGCAGAGGTTCCGCTTCGAGGCCCCCCGATCCGGGGTGGGGGGCGCCCTCCTGCTCCCGGACCTGGCCGGCGAGTGCGGGGTGGTGCTGCACCCACGGCCCTACCTGCTGCACGCCGTTCCCAGGCCCCCCCCCCCCCAAGTAGCGGGCCACAGGGGAGGAGGCCCTAGGAGTTGATGGTGGTGTTTACAGCAATGTGAACGTGGGATGCAGGAAGAGGCAGATTTAGAAACTTTAGAAGGGAGTGGGCGGGGGGAGGGCCGTCCTGAATGAGTTTTGAATAGGGACCCACTAAAAAAACCCCAAAAGGGAGAGGATGGCACCCTCACTGGGGACCGTGGGCAAGGTGACCAGGATATGGCAGTATAGCAAGTGGGCACGCGGAACCCATCCGTGCGGACCGTGGGAACGTCGGCCCAACATCCCCAGGGGCAGGACCCTCCTGATGCACAGCGAGCCTTTCCTGGATTACCAAGGATCAAAGTGCGTAGGTAAATAAATGACTATAGTAATAATATTATCGTTATTGTTGTTATATCGTGTCCCCTCTATTTGTATGGGCCACCCTCCTCTCGAGATACTTGCCCCCCCACACCTTATGAAGCGTTAACATGCAATGACAGAACACTTTTCATTTCCACAGCGACCGCATCTCCAGCTGCCGAGTCTAACAGCCGCATTTCACGGGGAGGGGCTGCGAGTGTGGGGGGGTCGGGGGGTGGAGGCAGGAGTGGGTGACCGCAGCCCGCAGTTCACCCCCCACTCCTCTCCGCGTTTCCGAGGATCGTGCCGCTACGCGTTGTCGGGCACGTCGTCCGACGTTCCGCTCCACGTGCCGGGAGCAGCTTCGGGAGCCCCGAGCGTTCCGTGGCCCGGACCGAGCGATCGGGGTCGAGAACTCGCGACGGCGAATACTCGAGGGAGAACGCCAGCGATCATTAATTCGGCACGTAGAGCGGCACGTCGGACATCGTGCCAAACAGCACGCGGCGGCACGGCCCCCGCACGAGATTAGAATCCCAGCCAGGGTTTGAACTTGCAACCTTCCGATTGCAAGGCCCAGGTCAGGTTTTGTGGGAGGCCCTGCAGCCCAAGAGTTGGCGCAGGACCGGCTTATCATTGGTGGGGGGCTGTCAAGGGGTCCTCGCCAGCTGGCTGCTTTGGGAGGCGCTCGCCTGCCCCCCATTGTGGACCTTGGCGCCCAGCTCTGCGGCGAGTCTCCCATGGACGAGTGCCACCTCTTTATCCTTCTCCATGACCTCGTCGTCACCATCATCATCGTCACACACAGGGTCAGGAGGTCGCACGTCGATCCCAGAATCTCCGGTCAGTCGGCGGTGACGAAAATGATCCGTTTCTTCACCATCATCGTCGTCGTCACCACACCCAAACTCTCCCCCTCCTCCGTCATCACGATCATCGCCATTGCCATGGTTACCAGGCGGTTCCTCCTGGTGTGTCGTGGTCCTGCTCTCCTGTCCATCGGTGATCTCCACAGTGACGTCGAGACGAGGATAGAAGCGCGCTCGCTTCTTGCCGGAACCGGGCCTTGGGGTCACGCTTTGGGTCACGCTTTGGGTCACGCTCGGGGTCACGCTCGGGGTCACGCCCGGGGTCACGCTCGGGGTCACGCTCGGGGTCACGCTCGGGGTCACGCTCGGGTTTGGGGTTGAGGCTGGGGTCGGGGTCGAGGTCAGGGTCACTGCTACTTCCTTATCGCGGCTCGGCTCCACGCCGCACACTTCTCCGCCAGCACCTTGTCCTGCACCCTGCCCGCCGTGCTCCTCCTCCTGCGGAGCCCTCATCGCCGCCGGGGGCTCACAGCCCCCCTCATCATCCTCGGAGGTCGCGCTCCAAGTGGCGGTGGTGGCGGCCGGAGAAGAAGGAGGAGAAGGCGGCGGAGGGGCGGGAGGAGGAGAAGGGGAAGCAGAGGGGCGGTAGTCGCTGGGGTCCGTGTGGGGTTCGGGGGAGCTGTCTGCACGGTGAAGTATGACCATGGCCCCCCCCAGGCTGGAGTCGGAGCTGGCCGTGGGGGGGGGGCCCACATCGAGCCCCCCCTCCTGCTGGGGGCCCAGTTCGCTGTAGGGGGGCGGCGGTGACGTGTCGGCCTGGGTCAGGATGGCCTCCTCGTAGGGCGGCAGGTTGCATACGGCCATGAGGCCTGGACAGATGAAACAGCAACATGAACAGCAACATGAACAGCAACATAACATCAAAACAACATCGACAATATCACCCAACAACATCATCAACATAACATCAACAACAAAATTCACCACTCCCATATGTACTTGGTCAGCATGCAAGAGTAGGCCAAATACCCTCTGGAGGGGTTCTCGAATAACTTGACCTGATTAAGGCTCTCATCTGGTTAAAATGCAGACACTCATGCGTGGGGGTGATAGCGTATGTGTGGGCACGTTTCTGATTGTGTGCCCATGCGTGTGCCAATGCGTGTGCTCTTGTGTTTTTGTGTCACTACTGGCACAGTGAGGAGCACAGCTGGTGCATGTGCCAGTCATTTAAGTGAACCCATGGCACCTGGGTCTCTTCTGTCACCTCTTGCCAGCGGGCCTTGACACTTCCCGTAGCCTCACGGTGCACCTAGCCTGGCACAGGTGCCGTTCTGACATCACCGTGTGGAATGGTGGCTGTTGTTGTATTCTTGCACGTACCCCCATTTGTGTGTGTCCGTGTGTGTCGCCTCAAATGAGTACCTGGTGCGATGTTTAGTGGACATCACCACTTTGGAGACAAAGGCAGCCGGGCGTAGTGCTGGCCACCCACCCCCTCATGTTCCGTGCCGACCTTCACAAGTGCTACTCGCTAACAGCCCTTGGCCCAACAGTTTGTTCAGGCTATACGGGGGATCTTTGTCTGTGTGTCTCTGTGTGACCATGCCCGTGCCACCCGCCCCCTCCTCTGCGCCACTCACGTATGTCGAGTGGGGGGCCCGGGTAGTTGCAGGCCCCCCGGTAGGCGAGCATGTCGATGCGACGCTGCCTGGCGCGCTGGTGTGAGCGCAGCTTCGAGCGCCGGTGCCGGTAGGCGCAGCAGCAGCTCAGCACCACGACCAGCGTCCACAGCAGCCAGAACCCTGGGGGGCACGGCGGCGGAGAGAGCCCGACGCCTTCCCGGACCTCGCCTTCAAGACGCTCGATGCAGTCTCAAGCGAGACATCGCGTTATCCAACCACTGCTGAATCTGTTTTCAAATTCTCTCAAAAATCTATTCTGAATTGTAAACAATTATTATTTCCACATGCAATAAATATTCTCTAGGGTCTCTCGGGTATTCTCTCAACACTCTCTCTGGGGTCCCCTGTGTAAGGTGGTGGCCGCTGCCAGCCACTGGGAGCGGTACTGCACTCACACCACAGCTCGTAGTAGTAGTAGTAGGTACTCACACCACAGCCCGTAGTAGTAGTAGTAGGTACTCACACCACAGCTCGTAGTAGTAGGTGCAGCAGCCGTTGTCTCCGCAGCAGTGGCCACTCTCGCAGTAGTACTGCTGCTCGTTGAGACCCAGACACACGTCCTTGGCCTGCGGGGGGCACGGGGTGGGTGGAGACGATGGGAGCAGGGTGGGTGTAGAAGGTGGGAGCCGAGGGTGGGAGCAGGGGATGGGAGGGTGGGGAGGGTGCACGGGGTGGGTGCAGGCGGTGGGAGCAGGGAGAGCGTGAGGGTATTGGGGTCAGAGCTCGAATCAGGGCGTGGGCTCGTGGCAGGGTTGGGTCTCCTTGTCGGGGTCGGAGGGTGGGGGCTAGAGCTCGGGTTGAGGATCAGCAGTGAAGGTCAGGGTTAGCAGGGTCAAGGGGTGGGTTGGGGCCAGGGTCAAGGGGTGGGGTGGGGGTTAGGGTCAAGGTGTGGGTTGGGGCTAGGGTCAAGGTGTGGGTTGGGGGTTAGGGTCAAGGTGTGGGTTGGGGCTAGGGTCAAGGTGTTGGTTGGGGGCTAGGGTCAAGGTGTGGGTTGGGGCTAGGGTCAAGGTGTGGGTTGGGGGTTAGGGTCAAGGTGTGGGTTGGGGCTAGGGTCAAGGTGTTGGTTGGGGGCTAGGGTCAAGGTGTGGGTTGGGGCTAGGGTCAAGGTGTGGGTTGGGGGTTAGGGTCAAGGTGTGGGTTAGCAGTTAGGGTCAAGGTGTGGGTTGGGGGCTAGGGTCAAGGTGTGGGTTGGGGCTAGGGTCAAGGGGTGGGTTGGGGCCAGGGTCAAGGTGTGGGTTGGGGGTTAGGGTTAAGGAGTGGGTTGGGGGTTAGGGTCAAGGTGTGGGTTGGGGCTAGGGTCAAGGTGTGGGTTGGGGGTTAGGGTCAAGGTGTGGGTTGGGGCTAGGGTCAAGGTGTGGGTTGGGGGTTAGGGTCAAGGTGTGGGTTGGGGCTAGGGTCAAGGTGTTGGTTGGGGGCTAGGGTCAAGGTGTGGGTTGGGGCTAGGGTCAAGGTGTGGGTTGGGGGTTAGGGTCAAGGTGTGGGTTGGGGCTAGGGTCAAGGTGTGGGTTGGGGGTTAGGGTCAAGGTGTGGGTTGGGGCTAGGGTCAAGGTGTTGGTTGGGGGCTAGGGTCAAGGTGTGGGTTGGGGCTAGGGTCAAGGTGTGGGTTGGGGGTTAGGGTCAAGGTGTGGGTTGGGGCTAGGGTCAAGGTGTGGGTTGGGGGTTAGGGTCAAGGTGTGGGTTGGGGCTAGGGTCAAGGGGTGGGTTGGGGCTAGGGTCAAGGTGTGGGTTGGGGCTAGGGTTCAGGTTGGGGTTGGGGTTCAGGTGTGGGTTGGGGCTAGGGTTAAGGTTGGGGCTAGGGTGAAGGTATGGGTTGGGGCTAGGGTTAAGGTTGGGGCTAGGGTTAAGGTTGGGGCTAGGGTTAAGGTTTAGGGCCAGGTCTAGGATTGGCGGGCGGGATTAGGGTTCGGGGTTTTAGGGCTTTAGTCTGCGGGATGTACAGTAGCACTGTACTGTATACGAATTGGCAGCGGTGCTGCTGTTGCGGTAACATCGCAACCCGGGATGTGTTCACTCTATGGGGTCCTCTCTGTAGGATCCTATGGGGTCCCTTCCCGGGTTACCCTCTCTAGGATGCCCTCTCCAGGGTCCTCTATGGTTCCCTAAAAGGGGTCCTCTTTTCAACATCCCCTCTCTCGGCTCCCCTCTATAGGGATCCTTCGACGTTACCCTAGGATCACCTCGGGTCCCATCTGTAGTATCCCCTCTCTCGGTCCCCTCTGTGGGATCCTTGCCACTACATCCCCTCTCCCGGATGCCCTTTGCTCACCTCGCAGCGGGCGAGCCGTGGCCACAGCGAGTCGCACAGCACGAGGGCGAGGAGCGCCGCCAACCAGGTCCCTTCGGCACCCCCTCGCCGGGGTCTCTGTCCCCTTGGAAAGACCCCCATGGCCGGCAGTAGCAAGGGCAGGGGAAGGGCAGGGGAAGGGCAGCCCTCTGCTGCCCACGCACACGGGGCTGCTGCTGCTGCTGCCGCCGCTGGTGCTGGACTCCGCCGCCCGCCGCACACGTGCGCGGGGACCCGGCCTGGCCGCCAGGGGGCGCCCGCGACGGGGGTTCGCTTATCCCGGCTGGGAAATCCACAACGCCCCACTGCGTACCGAGAAAGGCGCGGCGGTTATGCACCTCACATTTGCTAGAGCGGATAAGCGCCGGAGATTCTCGCCACCACCGCGGGCTCGCTGCGTCCCCTCCCGGTGCAACGGCTCCTCTCTCTGTGGGGTCTCCTCTCTATAGGGTCTATGGGGTTTCCCCTCTGTGGGGTCCTCTCTTAATCTAAGTTGTCTTATGGTTGTTATTGTTGTTGCTTGACTTGCATCCCACTGGGATTTTTGCACACAGCGTTGGTGTACGGTGTTTATTTCTGCAATATTTTGCTGTCTTTTCTTGGATGTTCTGTTTGCACTTAGTCACATATTCACTTTAAGATGTTTTTTGTTCATGTTTTTGTTTTTTGCGGTTGCACCCGATTCAAGAGCCGAATGGCTCACAGGGCTATTCCTAATAAATGAACTTGAACTCTCTTCAATGTCCCCTTCTCTATGGGGTCCTCGCTGTAGGGGTCCCCCCCTATAGGGCCCCATCTCCACCCCCCACCCCTTCTGTAGGACCCCCTCTCCAGGGTATCCCCTCCAGGGTGGCACTGACTCCACTGGAGTTAAAACTAAACTCTGTTTATGTGGCCAGGTAATGCCTACAGGTAATGCCTACAGGTAATGCCTACAGGTAATGCCTACAGGTAATGCCTACTGAGGAAGCGACCTGGCCACAAATGTCAGACCAACGAAGTGGCTCACCATCGTGTGGAAATTGACATCAGCCAAATACTCTGAACGCGTGGTGATGTTGATTCTAAATGTGGAGGGAAACCGCGGAGGGTCCGGAGAAAAATCCACGCGACCACGGGGAGTTCTTGCCCAGTGTGGGGTGATGATGATGGTGGTGTTGGTTCGTTTAAATGAAGATAGCTGTGAACGACCCGCAAGAGATGTGGGTGAACATAGGAGTGCGGTACAACGGGCGGTGGTGTTGCACTGCCCTGCTTAGCTTCCTGCATGTCTCGGCGCACTGCGTGTGGCAGTCCTCGCCTAGGGGACTCCCCAGTGGCAAGTGGCCCTAATAATACAATCATAATAGAAATACAATTATTATAATAATTTTATTTATGTTATTATTTCTATTATTTATTTTTACCTACGTGACTTTACCGACAAAACCTAAGAGTATAACATCGTCATGGTCTATGCACTGCTGGATGAAGGTCTCCAGACGCCGTCGCCGGCGAGTGGCAGGCTGGCTGGCGAGGTCTCGCAGCGACACGTGGCTGGGTTCGAGACCCCCACCGGGACACGTGCGAGGAGCGGTGGCGCAGCGATTAACGCGCTGCGCTACGAACCCGGCGATCCCAGCTCGATCCCCGACAGCAGAGACGAATATCTGAACCAGTCGCGGGCCTCCCCTAGGTCGACTCAGCCTCAAACGCGTGTTACCCGGTGGTGTGTAAATATCAGCACCGGCGAGACAAACGCAGCCGGGCGTGGGGCTGGCATCGCACCGCCCCCTTCGAGTGCCGCTCCGCCCTTCGTAGGTTGCAACTCGGTAGCTGCACTTGCCCCAGTTGCCCCGGCAGTCCGGTGAAGGCTACCCGGGGAACCTTTGTCTGCTGTGCTCCATTGACCGACGCTAACGGCGGAGAGCCGAGTCGGCGATCCGGCCCCGAGTTGCGGCGGGAAGAATCGATCAATCGGCAATGGGTCGTGGGGACTCGCGCCCCTTGGAATCGACGATTGGAAGGATGGGAAGGAAGCGGTGAGGATCAATCACCCCCCCTTCGATATTGACTCGCTCCGCTCTCATTGATTGATAAACTGTGCGCTTTGCAAAAATAGGAATCGATTTGGCTATTATTCGCTACGTAAGGTGATCGATTACCCAAATTGAGTCCTGTATCCTCTACAAGTGCGAATCGAGCGACCTTATTACTCTATTTACTACCTTTAAAATCCCGATAATCGTAAGAAATATATTAATCGACGGTTCTCGACAAACTTAACCGATTTACCAACGCAATTACGAATCGGCGACCCTAATCGACGATCAATTAGGCCGGGAATCGACGCGACGGCGCGAATCGCGAGGAAAGGGAATCGCGAGTGAGACCGCGCGCGCGCCCGCTCCACCGCTCGCTGCTCGGAATCTCCGCGCCCCCCCCCCCCACGCGGAGCCCCCCAATCGGAGCCCCCCAATCGGAGCCCCCCAATCGGAGCTCGCGTCCCAGGCCGGCGGAGATGGTGCAGCAGGAGGGGGACCCCCCCCACGAGGCGCACGCGCCCCCCATGGCGCAGGGAGGAGCGGCGCACGGCGGCAGCGGCTCCAAGAGGAAATTCTCGTGCGGGGTGGTGGAGGGTAGGCGCACACACACACACAGACACACACACACACACAGACACACACACAGACACACACACACACAGACACACACACACACAGACACACACAGACACACACACACACACAGACACACACACAGACACACACACACAGACACACACAGACAGACACACACAGAGACACACACACACAGGGTGTGGAGGGTAGGCGCACACAGACACACACACACACACATACACAGACACACACACACAGACACACACACACACAGACACACACACACACACAGACACACACACAGACACACACACACAGACACACACAGACAGACACACACAGAGACACACACACACACAGGGTGTGGAGGGTAGGCGCACACACAGACACACACACACACATACACAGACACACACACACAGACACACACACACAGACACAGGGTGGTGGAGGGTAGGCGCACACACACAGACACACACACATAGACAGACACACAGACACAAACACAGACACACACACAGGGTGTGGAGGATAGGCGCACACACACACACAGACACACACACACAGACACACACACAGACACACACACACAGACACACAGACACACACACACAGACACACACACACAGACACACACACACAGACACACACACACAGACACACACACACAGACACACACACACAGACACACACACAGACACACACACACAGACACACACACAGACACACACACACAGACACACACACACAGACACACAGACACACACACACAGACACACACACACAGACACACACACAGACACACACACACAGACACACACACACAGACACACACACACAAACACACAGGGGGGGCAGCTCCGGCGTGCTCTGTCCACAGCTGCACGGATCCGCGCGGTTAACACCGAAACTCGATTCATCCGTCAGCTTCGTTCGTCGGTCGCGTCGTTTATCGCCCAGATTGAGTGATGGGCATCGTCGTCGCTAGTCGTGCTCGATCCACTGCTGGACGAAGGCCCTCGCAAGCCGTCGCCTCCCCTCGCGGCCCGGCGGTGGCAGCAACATCCATCGGGCGCCTGCACAACGAGCGGAATTTATCGACCCATCGCGTGCTGATGTTCATTATCTGTGAGGAGTGTGCCTCTAAACATGAATATCGCCTTAATTGTCTGATAAAAATATAATCAATCACTGCGCAGTGATTTAGAGCCACCACTCATTGGGAAGGGCCGATCGAAAAGTGCTGGGATTGTGTTGACAATTCCACGTTACTATGGCGGTGAGAGAACCCGCTGTGTAATTACGACAAAGCGGTATCTGCTTTATCTGCTGGTGGCGATGATGATTGTGCTGATGTGCACGTGCTGATGAGCGTTGTGATAATTGTTGTGATAGTGATGATGTGGGTGATGCTGCTGCCAATGATGAACCGCTGAATGGAGTTGTGATGATGATGGTGATCATTCTAGCGGTGATGAAAGCGGTGACGGTCGTGATGATGATGATGGTCGTGATAAATTGTTTTGTGGGGATGTGCTGTGTGGAAGGGCCATTGCCCGAAGCGTCGCCGATTAAATCAGAGGTGGGACAAAGTCATTGTTATGCAAGTCCAAGTCGAGTCTGAAGTCATCAAATTCATGACTCGAGTCTGACTCGAGTCCAAGTCACATGACTCGAGTCCACACCTCTGCCGATTATATTTAATATGTTTAATGTTCTTTTAAGACCGAATGTGGCGAGTTGTTTGGTGCTCCTGCTGCCACAGCTCTGTATATAATTGTCATGTGCTCGCTGGTGGTGGCAATAATGGTGATGTCGATGGTGATGATGGTGGTGGTGGGAGTGAGGATGATGATGTTGTTGGTGATGATTCGCCTCAAGTCGAGGGACTGCACCAATGCCAGCAGCGCCTCGTAGTTCTACAACGCCTGCGCTCCTCAGAGGGCTGACGAACCTTCGCTGCTTATTGCATTGCGTCAATAAAACGCGAAATGCACAAAAACAAACACACGCACATTACACGCTGCTGTATAAACCTCGCTGGGGGTTTATGGTTTATTTTTTTTCATTGCATCTTGAAATCTCGCCTGGCCGAGACCCCTTCGGCCTTTCCCTGCCTGCGGGCTCCCCCCACGTCGGTCTCGGCGTGGCAACTAGCCGAGCGCCGCTGTGCCAAGGCCTCAGCGGTGTCGTAGTTGCTGCTTTTGTTCGTAATATAATTAATTTTTTGTGGTGGTTTTTAAATCTATAGTGCTTTTTTTCTTCTTGTTTGGGTCAAATTATGAATTAAAGCTGTCGCTACAGTGTTGATTGCGTTGTGAATGCAATCACGGTCTTTGGTGGTGCCGTTGTTGAATGGCGAGTTGTTGTTGCTGTGGTTTCTGTGGTTGTTGATTTGGGTGCTGACACATTCTTTTAAAAAATTCATGTTTTTGACTTTGTGGATAATGGTGTTGTCATAGTTGTTGTCATTGTGTTTATTGTTGATGCTCATGGCATGCCTGTTGATGTTGTTAAAGTACTTGTAGTTGTTTGTTCCTGTATTTTTTCTGTTTTTGTGGTTGCCGTTCTTGTTGTCGATGCTGTTATTTTTCCCTGTTGATGTGTTCGTTGTTCTGGACGTGAACTTGCATCCACAATAACCGCATCTCGTGTTAACGCTAAAGGAGATGTGTATATTCGGCGGCGCTTCGGGCAATGACCTGAGCACATGTGGGTTCCTTTTAAGGCATCATCATTATTACTGCTACTGATGCATGTGTGGAGTTTCTTGTTCGTTGTGCTTGTGCATCACCACCAACGCAGCAGCATCACCAAGTGATTTGTGTCAGCTTGTTTGAGGATAATACATTTATTTATTTAACACTAAAATGAAAAAAAATAATGCGGTGACAACAATTACAATCACAACCATACAAATGTAAGTCCTTGGTGACATTTAGACAGCAATCATTAATTACTGGCATATACATTCACTCCACATCTCCCGAAGCTCTGTACCGAATATCAAAACCTAGCATCATCACATTGTCTCTGTTCCTCCATAGCACATCATCATCATTAACCGACTTCAGGGGTGCAGCATTCCAGACCCCTGCCACTGCCTCTTCCCTAAGTAGCGAGGAACCCCTAACAAACCCCTACTCTGGACTCCCTGGCTGGGGTCCCCTTCTCTCTGTCTCCCCTCTCAGGATTCTACGGGAGACCATGGACCATGGAGCAGAGGAAGAACCTCTTCAAGCGGTGAGGAACGTGGCGCCATGCACTCACCCGAGCCACCCCGAGTGCATTGCCTCACTGCATTCATTGCCAGTGCTTGGCTGCTGGCGTCTGGTTGTAAGTTGCTGGTTGCTTCGAATGCTGGTGCTCGGTTGCTGATGCTGAGTTGCCAATTGCTTTTTTTACTAGTTTCTAATTTCTGGCTGCATACATTACTGATGCTGTTATTTGCATTGTTTGTTGATGCTTAGTTGCTGATGATTCGTTGCTAGTTGCTGGTGCTCAGTTTCCTGCTCCTCGGTTTGCATCAATTGCCGGTGTTTGGTTGCCTGTTGCGGTGCCATTGGAACGTACAATCCAATGCCACAGTAGTTACAGTACAGAACTAAACTGGGACTGCCCGCTCCAGCATGGAGAGAGAATGGAAAGCACCATGGAGATGCAGATAATCACAAGGCAGCAACGCTTTGCACCCTTGTAAAATGTTGAGCTTAATGAGTGCGATTTTTAAAACATTTCCGATATTTAAAAGATTTTAGGCCTCTCCCAAAGATGACACCCGTTACACGCGGGTCACGGTATTTCCACCAACGTTATTTTGAGGGCAAGTGAGCGGCGCATCTCATCATAGCGGATGTGCTTTCGCCCGGCAGGATGCAGCGCTGGGGCCTCAACACCTACATGTACGCGCCCAAGGATGACAGCAAGCACCGCATGTTCTGGCGCGAGATGTACTCCGTGGAGGAGGCCGGTAGGTGTTGTGGTGGCGGCTGCGGCAGCTATGGTGTCGGAGTCACTGAGACTCTCGGCTGCCGGCGTGTGCTGTGGTGTTCTGGTTCCGTTTCCTTGTAAATGGTCGCTTGTTCCTCGTGACCGCGGTTCGCAGTTAGTGCTTGCGCGTGTGTTCAGGTGGAGAGATGATTGGTACGGGGCAGGTCTGGGCACGAGAACATCCGGAGAGCTGAGGTTTAATCATTTAAAGGACTTACAAAAGGAATTTGTCCAGCATCCAAACTCGGGACCCTGTTGAAAAATGGATTTGAGATCAGAGGGTGTCCTAGATAAATAAAGGAGGATTGTTTTTATTTGGCAGTATGGTGTTGATTAGATATGCGTATGTTATAATGCCAAGATAAACCTCCTGTAACAACCCTCAATGCGCTCTCCTACCTCTCCCCTCTCGTCGCACTCTACTCCACACAGTCATGCCTCTCCCCTCTCATTTCACCATACTCTTCTCGACACTGTCACCCTACTCTTCTCTACACTGTGCTGAGAGGCGCTTTCAGGAACCTGAATACATTTCTCAGAGCTGAGCCAATCGGCGTCAACAACCGGAAACACCAGCAGCAGCTGGCAACTCCTCACGTAATCGACTGAAGTGACCTGCTCCATTCAGTTCCTTAAGGAGCTCCCAGCACATTGAACGAAACGTCGGACATCGTACAACCCGAAAGCACATTGGAGAAGTCCACAGAGCGAGTCTCGTGCAGGGCTCTGGTGCGGTTCTCCGTAGAGGCTGGCTGGTTTTCGCTGGTTCTTTTGCGCCGCCGGTGGTGTGAGCCATGAGTGGCTAACGCAGGTCGAGCCGTGCGACCCGCCTCCCCTCCCACAGATCAGCTGATGTCGCTGATCGCGGCAGCGCGCGAGCATGACGTGGAGTTTGTGTACGCCATCTCGCCGGGCCTCGACATGTCCTTCTCCAACCCCAAGGAGGTGGTGACACTCAAGCGCAAGCTGGAGCAGGTGCGCTCGTACCGTCTCGTGTGCCCAATTTTTCACTGTTCATGTCCACGTGTGGCCCCTTTTGTCAGCACGTTGCTGGACAAGGATCTCCCCACAGTCGCGCGGGTCGTGGGATCGGGGGTCATTTGACTGTACTTCTCCACGTTGGCCCACTTGTATATAATTTGTATACATATAAAAATATCAATTATCACGTGTGCGATTGGGTTCGTGTATTGCAGGCTTAAGAATCAACATTGAACCATGAGACGGGACATTCTCATTCATCCCCTCCTCCCCCCGTATTTCCCTTGCCTCTCCCCCTCCACGCAGGTCTCTCAGTTTGGCTGCCGTGGATTCGCCCTTCTCTTTGATGACATCGACCAGAACATGTGCCCTGCCGACAAGGAGGTGTTCACCTCGTTTGCCTACGCGCAGGTGTCCGTCACTAACGAGGTCTACCAGCACCTTGGCGAGCCCGCCTCCTTCATGTTTTGCCCGACGGGTGAGTGCGTGCGGCCGCCCCTCGCTCCCGCCTTGGCGTGACTCCAGCCCCAGCGGTCGTGTGTAACGGGGGGCGGGGTAGTCGCAATACCTCTCGTTAAGATTGTTCAATATCAATTACATTTTGTGGTTAGTTGTGTTGCTTGTAGGGACTTTAACCTATAGAAAACAGACCCATTTGATGAAAAGGTTAATGAAAACAAAAAACGGTGCTTAATGAATGAGTCCTTTTAGCCTAGGCGATGACGTCATATGCCACGGGCGAGCCTTGCTTCCCCATGACGTCGTCACGCGTGACGTCATCTCACGATGTCGCACACGACGGGTGGCTGGATCCCAAATTTGAATCCAGGCTCTCGGCGTCTCTGACCCCTGAGCCACGCAGCCTCCTGCCCTCCCTGTTGATTGCGAGTGGCTCTTTGTCTTGGTGCGGCGTGCAGAATACTGCGGCTCCCTGTGCTACCCCAATCCCGCGCAGTCTCCGTACCTGCAGACAGTGGGCGAGAAGTTGCTACCCAACATCGACGTCCTGTGGACAGGTGCGTACGCGCCCGAGACCCTCGCACACGGTTTTAAACGGAGGGCTTCGGTGGTGGCAGGGTGGCGGTAGTGCAGCGGTAACACTTGGGCCCCGCGGCAAGAAGGGCCTGGGTTCGATTGCCGACTCTTTCGGGGGTGCCTTTCCACCTGGAGTTTGTCTGTTCACCCCTCTTCTCCGTTGGTTTTCTCCAGGTTCTCCAGTTTCCTCGCGTGGCTAAAATAATCATACAGTGCAACTGTTAATGTATTTAACCAAACATCGCAATGCTGAAAAATTACCGAAAAAATTTTCAGTTGTCATTACACTGCACCATTATCCCCTACTGCAAGAACTTAGCAGGACCCTCCTGAAAAAAATGTCTTGAGACTCAGTGAGGCTTTCCTGGGTTAACAAGGACAATCACAGAAATAAAACAAAGTAAATTAACAACGTACTGGTTGAGATATAGATTGGCTGATCCTTGTGGTTTAGCATTATTCATCCCACTAACGTCCATAATCCTTTTTAGGTGAATAGGGAAACCAGATGGATGGACCGGTCCCCACCATAGGAATATGTAATTTCCTCCACCGGTTCGGATGTGCGCCACTTACTCGTGTGCCGCCACCGCAGGCCCCAAGGTGGTGTCCAAGGACATCTCCCTGGAGTCGGTGGAGGAAGTGTCCAAGGTGCTGAAGCGCCGACCCGTCATCTGGGACAACATCCACGCCAACGACTACGACCAGAAGCGCCTCTTCCTGGGGCCCTTCAAGGGCCGCTCCTCGGAGCTCATCCCCCGGCTCAACGGCGTCCTCACCAACCCCAACTGCGAGTTCGAGGCCAACTTCGTGGCGGTGCACACGCTTGCCACGTGGTACCATTCCAACATGCACGGCGTGCGCAAGGATGCCGTCATGGGTCAGTTTTGGCGGTTGGCGTTGTACTTGTTGTTGCGGCGGTTGTTGTTGCGGTTGTGACGGTTGTACGCATGTTGAACTTCTTTCGCACCGTACGTAGCCAACCGTGCTGGTCGGAAGTGACGGTTGTTGTGGCGGTGAGCACACACTGCAGCCAGAGTGCTACCTTGCTCCCCATTACACACTTTGCCACCCCTGTGATGAATTTGTATTGTTGTAATGTTCCGACCTGCCCCGACTGGACATCTGTGAAAAAGACCAAGCTCATTGGATTCCTTCAGTATAAATAAAGATTCTGATTATGATATCTCCGGTGATGAAATCGCGCTACTGGCTACGTTCCTGCAAAATTCAGCATTGATTTAAAATAATCCTAATCGCTGCTTATGGAGCTGTTCGTCATCTCGTGCCTTCATATTTACAGGAATGGCTGACCTCTTACACTCCTAGTTGACGTGCCAAGAATCGGTCGATCCTGAACTTGTGGTGGATCCGAGAAGTTGCCTCATATCAGGAAGTGCCAGGGAGCTTCAGTTGGGCTGCTCGCTGCCTCCCAAGTTACATCAGAATTGCCGCTGGCTCATTGGAATCGACAAAATCAAATTTAACGACCGTGATTTGTGCGAGAAAGCCTCCCTCTTTCACGCCGTCTAGGAGCACTTCACGCAATAAGAGGCCTTGCGTCTGATCTCAACGCTTTCCAAAGGGAACTTAAACACGTAAAATGTTTCTTTGACAGGACTTGGCCCAACATCCTGCGTGGGTTACATGTGGTGTCTTTGTGCGCGTGTGTGTGTGTAGCAGGCAGCGAGGACAGCACGGTGTCGGTGCAGATCAAGCTGGAGAACGAGGGCAGCGACGAGGAGCTGGAGACCGACATCCTCTACAGCCCCCGCACGGCGCTCAAGCTCGCGCTCGTCGAGTGGCTCCACGACTTCGCCGCCCAGCAGCCCAGTGAGCCCTCCCCTCACCCGTCTGCTCACCTGTCCACTCACCTTTCAACCAGTTGAGCCCTCCACTTACTTGTCAGCTCACCTATCGGCCAGGTGACACCCTTACCTGACAGACACAAACAACACCCCCGCCCACCCAGCAGGCACTCAAGTAACCTTATTCAAACATTTGTTTGTATTATTGTTAGCTTTGGATTGGATGAAACCCAGGCTGCCCTTGCCAAAGAGGCGATGACGTTTCTCGCGTCTCACCGGACTCGTGTAGCCTGCCGGGTAAGGAAGGGAGATTCACCGACTCGCTACACCTGCCCAAGAGCCGACTCTGCTGGCAAGTGCTGGCTGAGACGCGGCTAGGGTTGATAAATGGTAACCTGCTAAACCGGCAACCGCTTTCAGAATTGGTTACTGGTTTCTGACCGATTCCCATGGCACGTCGGAGGCGTTTGTGGACGTACAAACAGCACAGTAGCCTAAGCCACCACGTGGTTGATTCTCCCACATTTCTTTGTTTCAAAGGTAAATGCGCTACATTTATTGGTCTGGATGTTTTTACTCGGCTACCAGTTACGCAAGCAATACTACTGTAACAGCCATGGTCGTGACCCCCCTCCCATCCTCTCCTCTTCCCTCCCTCCCCCTCCATCCCCCCTGCCCCACAGGGAGACAAGTGACAGGGAGCGGACCCAAAACCAGCCTCAGCAACGTCATCACCGTGTCCCTGCCGGCTGCCTCCATGGCAACCGTTAGCACCTCCATCTACCAGCAGCCCATCATGTCTTCATCCTCCACCACCCTGCCAGGTGGGGGCCCTCCCTCCAATTATAGTTGTAGTTTTCTAATACCATCCCCTTGTCTCCTCATCGCTCTCCAGCACTCAATCCCCACGTGTCCCTTCTCTCCCTTTGTCTCCCTTTGTGTTTTTCCCTTTGTGTGTCTCCGTGTATCTCTGCGCTTTGACCCGTGTCTACCCGTATCTCCCCAACAGCTTCCCCGGACTCCGCGATCGACCCCAAGCCGCTCTTGGGCATTGACGAGGAGGTGGAAGAGGAAGGCGGAGACCTCGTTAAAGGGGGGGACGATGTGGATGATGGCGGTGGCAGCGGCGGTGCCGTCGACGACAGCGCCGGTGCGAAACCAGTGGTGGAGGAGCCCATGGAGACGGCGGCGTGCGAGAAGCCGGACTGCGGGGACGCCGTGACCGCCAGCGAGCCCCGGCCGATGGACACCGACCTGGACGGCGCCGCGGGTGGCCCCGTGGCCACGGACGGGGGGCCGCCCGGCGGCACCGTGGAGGGGCCCGGCGGCACGGAGGAGGGGTCCGGCGGCACCGCGCCCGCCACGCCGCCCGACCGGGAGATGCGTCCGATTGATACGGAGCGTGAGGGAGTGGCGGAGGGCAGCCCGGCGCACGGCGTCAGCGAGGGGGTGAGTGAGGAGGTGAGTGAGGGGATGAGTGGACGAGCGAGCGAGCGGGTGATTGGGTGAATGAGCGGGCGAGAAAGGGAGTGAGTGGGCAAGCGAGCGAGTGAGCATCCAAATGTCACCATATTTGAAGTTGCTGTCCATTTTGCTTTTAAACAGAGAGGCAGTCAGAGGCAAAGGTCCTAAGCCTGAGTCAACTGCACGGACGGATGGAGGGAAGGGATGTTCCAGACTACAGTGAAGGGTGGGGTGGCGGGGGGGCAGTATAAAACGAGCCTGACCTCTCGTTGGGGTCATGCTCGCTCGATGGCATCCCGTCCGTAGCGTTCACCCCGCGAAGCTCCCCGTGCGTCCCTCTCTCCTCGCTCTCCAGGTCGGAACGCCGGACTTCCTGCGTGGCAACATCGATGCCGTCGTTGTCGAGGAGGAGGAGGATGGGAGGAGCATGCAGGCCGAGGCGTGGCCCATGCAGACGGACGATGTGATCCCGTGCGGCGGTGCCGGCACGGCGGCGGGGAGCGGGGGAAAGTCCTCGGCCGTGGATCCGGTGACGGCCGACGACCTGGACCTCCTCGCCGACCTCTTCTACCTCCCGTACGAGCACGGGCCGCGCGCCGCTCAGCTGCTGCGCGAATTCCACTGGCTCAAGGTCAACAGCAGCGCCGTGGGCTGCAGCCGGAGCGTCGCCGAGCCCAACAAAGAGCGCGTGAGTGCAGCCGTCTGTGGTGCCGTGTGCGGTGCCGTGTACTGTAGTATGGGAGGTGCTGTGGGGAGTGATAGTGGAGTGTTTAGCACGCTGGACTACGAACCCGGCGACCTGAGTTCGATTCCTGCACGCAGCCAACATCGGTGACGATTATCTGAACCGGTCTTGGGCCTCTACTAGGTCGACTCAGCCTCAAATGAGTACCTTGTGCCATGTGTGGCGTGCCGGCCTTAATAGGCGTTCCATAACAGTCTCTTAAGGTAATACGGGGATCTGTGATTTTGGTGCTTGTGTGTGGTTCTGTTTATGTATGTGTAGTAAGTTGATGAGGAGACGATGAGGAAGTTGAGACACACTGTTTATTAACTCCGGGACAGATACAATAGTTGAAGGGGTATCGGCCCCTTCACCCGTACTATGGGAAACCCACCCTAGTACTAAGCCCTCTGTCCTGTCCCCCAGTCCTCCTCTACTGGGCTACGGAAGGCTGACTCATCTGGCCCTGGCAAGCACAGATCTCGGCACCAGCTAACCAGCCTTGCCCTGATAAGGGCAGCGGTCTGGAAGCTCTTGGGCCGCGCCACTGGCTTACCCGGCTCGGCCCTTATAAGGACGGCGAGACCGGGGAGTCCCAGGGCCTAATCTCCGAGTCTTGGATCTTCACTGGTCAGCTTCGTGTCGAACTGCCTCGAGCTCTTTGGGTTCCACCTTTTATAGGGATCGCCTCCGAGGGCTGGGGGCGTGGGCAATAACTGATGCGGACGTCGGTGTGACCCCCCGTGTATGTGAGTGCCGACAGCCCTGTGTTTGTTGTCCGCCGTTTCTCCCGTAATAACCCCTACATATGTGTAGCTGTATATCCGTGTTGCTGTGTGTAGTATCTGTGTGCATGGGTCTCCGTGTTGATGTGCGTTGCTGTGTGCGCGTGTCCACATTGCCGTGCATTTAGTTGTGTGCGGCTACGTTGCTGTTCGTGTAACGTTATGGCTGTGATGCAGTGCCTGTGCTGTGTGGCTGTGTTGTTGTTTGTTGTATTTTCAGCTGTGTTGACGACTCCATAGTCGTGTTGCTATGTCAGTGCACATGCTGTCCCTGCGCTCACTTCCCCTCTCTCTCCCTGCACTCACCCTTCCCCCTCTCCTCACCCACCCCCTTCTCTCCCCACGCTCACCCTCCTTCACCCTCCCCCCTCTCTCCCCACGCTCACCCTCCTTCACCCTCCCCCCTCTCTCCCCACACTCACCCTCCTTCACCCTCCCCCCTCTCTCCGTCGCTCTCACAGGAGGAGGAGTGGCGAGCCCGTGCCCTCGCCTTCGAGGAGCTGTGTAACCGCGTGACGCAGATGTTCACGCGCCTCTCCAGCATCGCCAACCGCAGCGTCCTCTACGACCTCTACCCCTACATCTGGGACATCAAGGGCATCGTCTCCATGGTCAAGTCGTTCGTCAAGTGGCTGGGTGGGCACAACGCGGCGGTGTGCCGTCCACGTGGGGTCCTACCTGTGGGGGGGCTGTCTCTGTGGGCGTGGGGGGCGCCTTCTGGAGGAGAGGGAGTTATAGAGGTGATCGATAGAGGGGGCAGGGAGCCAGGTTTTTCAAAGAGTTGCGCGGGTCCTTGTGTGGCACAAGCTGTGGGCGGCACCCGCCGGCAAGTGGACATTGGTCTGCCAGTAGGGGGCGGCGTTCCTCTGCGCGCTGTTCCGATTGCGCAGCGAGCCGGTGACGTGCAGAGGTCAAACTGCACGGTCGCATCTCCCCCGCGGGGACGGCCACCCATCCCGCACCGATCCCTCTCGCCACGCTCTCACCCGGCTCGCCAGCGCAGCCCGGTGCTCTCCATTCCTGGCCAAGCGAAGCTCACCAGGACTTGGCTTTAGAGAGGCGTGGCGAGCGAGAGAGCGGTTTGTGGGTAGAGTGGCGGCACGTTGGTCACCGGTGGGGCTCGGGTGGCGGCCCGTGCGGGCGGCGGGGCTGGTGGGGGGGGGGGGGTTCTTGCGGTGGTGCGCTCCCTCCCTGTCTCTCCCCAGGTGCCTGGCGAGGAGGCGGCGGGCACGAGCTCACTCGCGCAGGCAGCTTTGCCGGGGTTGTGGGCCAGAGTTCAGGGGTCGGACGAAGGTAGGAGAGTTGGTAAGGGGGCGGCTGTCGAGGCCTGTGAGCCGGCGACCCGGTTCGGTCCCTCGGCCCCGAACCGGCCTCTTCTTCTCGGTGCGTTTGAAGTACGGACGCCCGGTTTCCACTCGCAAAGAGAAATGAAAGTGATAGAGGCTTCCGCAAAATCCCACGGGAAATCTGCAAACACAGCGTGACCCAGCAATAGTGTGGGGTAGTGCAGTGTGGGATGTCTTTGTCTGTGAGCGTGTGAGTGTGCACTTGGCCTGGCACAAGCGTCGTGGTGACATCACCACCACTTAGTGGCGAATGGCGGTTGCTGTTGTGAGTGTGTGTGTGAGCGTGTGTGTGTAAATGTGTGTGATATCATGGGACCGCCATTGCCAGTATCAAAATATAAGATTAGGTTTTACCCTTTCTGGAAATAAACCAGGTGTTCAGATGTTAAAACACCAAACTGACACCTTTTGCAAGGAACCACGTCTGCATTAACTACATATACTCGTGGTCCACACCAGAGACAGCTTTCCTTAGAGCCGAGTCTCAAACAGTGTTAGACCAGATGACTCCAAAAGGTGAACAGCACAAAGAGAATACCACTATCAGGACATTAAGAGCTCGCGGTGAGCAGCTACATCATGGGACCTCCTCTGCCAAGAACATCCTCTGATAGAATATGCATATACTATGCATATACTATCAGAGCATATTTTTTATTGCATGTTCACCACAAGTATATGTGGTTAATGCAGATATGATTCTTTGCAAAAGATTTCAGTTTGGTGTTTTAACATCTTACCACCTGCTTTATTGCCAGAAAGGGTAGAATAAATTATTATATTTTGTTGTGTGAGCGTGTGAACGTGTGTGTGCGAGTGTTTGTGTGCGAGTGTGTGTGTGAGCGTGTGAGTGTGTGTGCGAGCGTGTGTGTGAACGTGTGTGTGAGCGTGTGAACGTGTGTGTGCGAGTGTGTGTGCGAGCGTGTGGGTGAGCGTGTGAACGTGTATGTGAACTTTTTCTGGTTTCGCCCTTCGCCACGATTGCTCGCGCGTCGCGCCTATGGACCGGCGGTGCATGCCGTCTCGTGGTTGTGAATGCGCGTGCCGTGTGCCGTGTGCCGTGACAGGGTGCCGCAGCCAGACCCACTCGCAGTTCCTGAGCGGAGACCAGGAGCCGTGGGTGTTCCGCGGTGGTCTCGCCGGCGAGCTACAGGTGAGCAGCGCAACACATTGCCAACGCTCGTCTCGCTACATCCTCATAATCATCATAATCATCTCTCGTTCACCTTCGTCGTGCTGGTTGATATCGCCGGGTGTGTTCAGCGTACAATGCTCCGCACCGTCCGCTTCACGCTGTGCGTTCAAGATCCGGTGATGTCATTCGAAGGGGAGTTGGCCACTGCGTGCCCACGTCCAGCCTTCAATATTCACTTCCCTCGCCCTCCATTTCCTTACCCCTGCTGCCTCATCCAGCCTCAACTATGGCACCTCTCTCCTCTATGGCCTCCCACCACGCCCCCCACCTCCCCACCCCCCCCACCTGCCCACGCCCCCCACCTCCCCACGCTCCCCACGCCCCCCACCTCCCGACCCCCCCACCTCCCCACGCCCCCCACGCCCCCCACCCTCCCACCTCCCCTATGCTCCCCACGCCCCCCACCTCCCGACCCCCCCACCTCCCCACGCCCCCCACGCCCCCCACCCTCCCACCTCCCCTATGCTTCCCACGCCCCCCACCTCCCCCACCTCCCCACGCTCCCCACCCCCCCACCCCCCCACGCCCCCCACGCCCCCCACGCCCCCCACGTCTTAATGGCAGGTGACCCACCCTGCCCCTGCCAGACCGGGGCAGGGTGGGTCACAGGTCAGCTCGGCGCGTCAGGTCGCGACGGGAGTTCCCGCGCTGTCGGCTCGCACTGATTCCCCGTCGTGTCGCGTGGCCCCCCCAGCGGATGCTGCCCATCGACGGCGCCAACGACCTCTTCTTCCAGCCGCCGCCGCTGCCCCCCACGGCCAAGGTGTACACGATTCGGCCGTACCTCCCGCAGGACGAGGTGAGCCCCCTCCCCTCCTCTTCTTCCCCACCCCCACCCCCGGCGGTGCCGTCTGACCGGTGCCGGTGTTGGTGCAGGAATCGCCTTTCCCTCGGCGCTCGGCGTAGATCCGGGCAGTGGACCGCGCGAGTGGTCATGTGACCACCAACGAAGAGGGTTGGTGGATCGCAGGAAGTTGTGTGGGCCTTGCTGGCCTCACGGGGCTGCGGAATTGTAACTTATCCCCTTGATGTACACGGTGGGTTTTCGCCACGCTCCTGTTATTTTACGAGGAAATTTGCCCAATATGGCAGGACCCTCTGTAAGAGCATCTTGAGACTTGGCGGGGCTTGGCTGTGTAGACGGGGGTGGGGGGGAGATGCGAGCGTTCTTGTCGCGTCTTCGCCAGGCCGCCGCCTACAAGGTGTGCCGGGAGACGTACGCCGACGGCTTGGACGGCACGCAGCTCTTCCCGGACAACCCCGACCTCATCGGAGACCGGTGAGCTTCGTGTGGCGCTCCTGCCGGCACTCCAGCCAACAGTCACACGTGAACGCTCGTCTTGGCCTTGAAAACCGCCGTTTTAGATGTCTGTAACGCATCGTGTCGGTCGTGCGTAACTTCCCGTGCTTCGCGTGCGTTGTGTGAAACGTGGCGTGTGTGTTGCGTAGCGTGTGCGTTGCGTAGCGTGTGCCATGCATGTCGCGCGGTTCGTAGAGACGAGCCTGACGCGTTACGCGCGTTACGAGTCGCCCGTGCCGCGCGTGACTCGCCGCGCGTGACTCGCCGCGCGTGACTCGCCGCGCGTGACTCGCCGCGCGTGACTCGCCGCGCGTGACTCGCCGCGCGTGACTCGCCGCGCGTGACTCGCCGCGCGTGACTCGCCGCGCGTGACTCGCCGCGCGTGACTCGCCGCGCGTGACTCGCCGCGCGTGACTCGCCGCGCGTGACTCGCCGCGCGTGACTCGCCGCGCGTGACTCGCCGCGCGTGACTCGCCGCGCGTGTCCTGCGTCTCGCGAGCAGGCTGGTGGGCAGCCTGCTGTCGCTGAGCCCCGAGTATTGCTTCGTGCTGGAGGACGAGGAGGGCGTGTGCGGCTACGCGCTGGGCTCCGTCGACGCCAAGTCCTTCTTCAGCCGCTGCGAGGTGGCCTGGCTGCCGGCCATGCAGGACAAGTACACGCGGCCCGCCGCCACCGGGGACGACGCGCTCTCCCTCTCGCTGGTACGACCGCGGCGATGATCACGCCACTCGCGTGTCCCTCTGTCGGGACGCTGCCGCCACGGCCGCGTCACGGTCAGCGGCACGCCGGACCTGCTGTCCGTCAATCTCCTCGCGCAGCAGTCGAAAGAATTAGCGCGTACAGATGGGTTCACCGGTCGCGTGTGCTGGGGTAAAGTGTGAGTGCTCCCCCATCTTCTGTTGTGCAGCAGCAGCAGCAGTAGCTGCTGGATATGACGGGGAGATGGTCGGAAGCTTTGGTAGCGAGGCGCTGGCGACCACGGTGGCGGTGCTGGTGGTGGCATCGGCGGCATTGGCCACGGTGGCATCGCTGATCGTGCTCCATCCCTGTCGCCCTCCCTACTTGCCGTGCTCTCTCCGACTCGCCTCCCACTTCACCTCCACCCCACCCCCTGCCCCCACCACCCCCCCCCCCTCCGCCCAGGAGGTGATGCTGAGCTTCCACGAGGAGGCGCGGGTGCCCCCGGAGACGCTGGTATCGCGCTTCCCGTCGCTGGTGCGCGTGGACATCCACAGCCGGGTCACCGACCCCAGCGTTGCCAAGAGCATGATGGGCTGCCTGCTCTCGTCCCTCAAGGCCAACGGTACCGCTCGCTCGCTCGCTCGCTCGCCACTGCTGCCGGGCAGCAGGCGAGCTCAGGCGGCGTTCGCTGCGAACATCGCAGTGCTGACTAAACACCTCCACGTTACTCATTGGGGATCACACGCAGCAGCAGCAACGTTTCCCCCCTACTCCCGCGAGAAATTGGCAGGACCCTTGAGACTCGGCGAGGTTCTCCCGGGTAAACGAGCGTATTTATTATCATTCTTGTAATTTCAGATAATGATGCTGCTGCTGTATTTGTTGTAATGGACCACCCCAGGGACGGACCGGGCACTTGTGCTCATGAAAAGCACCACCGTTTCTCATGTGCAGTTGTGCAAGGGCATCGCCGTCTCGGATCGTGTGCTACGTCTGCCATGGCGAGATCTGGACTAATACATTAATAATACAATTGTTCACACACGCACGCTCACACACACGCTCACATGCGCACACTCTCATGCACACACATACTCTCAAACACGTACATTCTCACTCTCGCACACACACTCTCACACGCACACTCTTACACACACGCTCTCGCACACACGTACACACACACACATTCTCACACGCACGCGTACGCAGGATCGCAGGGTGCGTTTTGCGAGGTGAAGGCGAGCGACAAGGGCAACACGGAGTTCTACACCAAACTCGGATTCTTCGAGGTCCCCATGGCCGAAGGTTTCTGCAAAGACGCCGTCCTCCTGGGCCGCCCCATCTGACCCCTCCGCGCCGTCCCCTGCCCCCCGTGCCGGACTGGCTCACGCGACGGGCGGCGGCGGTGGCGGCGGCGGCGGTGGTGGCATTGCAGCTGGCTGGTGGAGCTGGGATCTCCCACTCGGTTTGGCGAGTAGGGGCGGTGTGGAGGTGTGCGTGTGTGTTCCATGGCGGTGTGTGTGGCACGGTGTGCTGCCCTCCTCCTGTCAGCAGCTGCCGGGCGGGGCTAGGCTGACACAAACGGTTGCGAGTGTGTGCGTGCGTGAATGTCTGTTGGGTGTAAGCGGGGATTCATTTCTTGCCCAATATTTTTCGGGTCACTCACGGACTGGAGTAGGTGGCGTGTGACGAGTCGACAACACATCCATAGCCAGAGGTATAATGGATGTGGTGTGCCTTGTGCGGAAATGTTTTCTGTGTCGCCAACCCAGACGGACTGGGTCGAATTTAAGCTATGGAGGTGTAATATTCTGGCAACGTCCGTGTGTGTGTGGGCGGTGGTGTGAGTTGTGTGCGATGCTGTGGATTGTGTGAGCTTTGATGTGTGGTGTGTGTGGCGCTCTGTGTGGTGGGTGACTGGGTGGCGTGTGAGGCATATTGTGAGTGGTATATGTGGTCGGTGGTCAGGTGGGTGATGTGTGCCAGGCAGTATGAATGTTGCGAGTGCCGTGCGTGTATGGTGTGGTGCGGTGTGGTGCGGTGTGCGTGTATGGTATGGTGTGGTGCGGTGTGGTGCAGTGTGCGTGTATGGTGTGGTGCGGTGTACGTGTGTGGTGTGGTGCGGTGTGTGGTGTGGTGCGGTGTGGTGCGGTGCGGTGTGAGTGACGTGCGGTGCCTCGCGTACTTCCCTTGGGCAGCTGCCGTCGTGGGGAATTTGCAAAACCAGGACCCGGAACTTTTGATGGGCCGAAGTACTGAGTCTGGATATTCCACGTCAGTGTCTCCCCGTGTCTTTGCTCACCCTCCGTGCCTCTCCGAGTCTCCCCCCAGCTCCTAATGTCTCCCCAAGTCTCCCCCTACCGCGTCTCCGATCACCCCTCGTGCGATGTTCACAACCAAACTCTGATTTTTGTTTTTATACTCGTTCTAAGCGTTCACTATCCTCTTCATCCCGGATAACGACGATGATGATGATTGTTTTTTGTTTAGCATTCCTTGAATGAATTGTTCGCTAAACCTTTTTACGGATCTCCCACCCTGATTTATGAACGTGTGGGTTCCGTTGTTTTGACGGAAATATAAACGTTCACTGATGACGCTGACGATGACGATTTTGGCGATGACTACGACAACAGCTCTGACGACGATGGCGTTCGTGACGATGATGGCGATGTTGGCTACGATGATGTACAGGTTGTTGGTGCTGTTGACCCAGATCTCACTCCACTGCCCATTGCTGCCAAGGTTGTCTCAGGCTGCCCCCGATCCCCACTGCTGCCCCTGATGCCCCTCATCCACAGTGCTCATGCCCTGCCCTGGGCAGGCCTCGGAGGTTGACCTTCCATCAGGGCAAAGCGGCGTGGCCTGGGGTGCAGCGTTGTGACCCGAGGGTGCAGGGCGGCGTGGCGTGTGGGATCTGGGGGGCTCGTCCCGTGTACATTACCTGTACATACGTTCTGTGTAGTAATAGTAGTAATAGTAATAATAATGACGACAGCGACCACGTGGTTACCACTGTTTCTGTTCCCCTTTTTTTGCGAATCGGAGCGTAAACGATGATCGTGGTGATGACGATACGAATAAAAATGTGCTGGAAGCAACAGGAAGAATAAGTGTCCTGGTGTCTGTGACCTCAGATGAATGGTGGCAGCTGCTTGGGCGCGCTGTGGAATTTGGCGAGAGTGGGGGTTGGAGGCGGCGGTGGCGGCAGCGGCGGTGGTGGCGCTGCAGGGTCTGCGTGGACGCACGGCGCGAGATTTCCCAGTGGCTCCCTTCTGCAACCCATACACACCCAGTCACACACCCACTCACCCACTCATCAACTCGGACATCCACTCACCCAGTGACCAACTCGTCGACTCGCGCACCCACTCGCTCACCTACACACACACCCACTCACCAACTCAATCTACTCGCACACCCACTCACCTACTCGCCCACTCATCCACTTAACCAGTCACACAGCCACTCACCCAGTCACACAGCCACTCACCCAGTCACACAGCTACTCACCCACTGACCAACTCACCTACTCGCCCACTCATCCATTCACTCATCCAGTCGCACACCCGCTCACTCGCTACACACATACACCCACTCACCAACTCGCCTACTCTCACACACTCACACCCACTCACTTGCCTACTCACTCACCCACCCCGACCCACCTACTTCTCACTCGGTGTACACTGGTGCGTTAGACAGGTGTGGTAGTGCACACCTGTGATTCAGCACTGGAGGTGATGGTGGAAAGATTTGTGAAACTCCCAAACCCTCCTAAGGCTGCAAGGTGGTCAGGATCACGACAGTGGAGCCAGTGGGTTTGCAGACCCGTCTGTGCGGACCCGTGAGTGCTACCCCCTCGTATCCATCCAGCGGCGCTGTCTCTGGGTTCGCTGCTGCCACGTGAAGCCAAACTTCCCTGCATTGAGCATCGAGGCAGTCGGTGGAGTACATCTGCTTTGCAGCCCTGCAGAGCCTGTTTTAGGAATTCCACAATCCTATGGTGGGGCCGAGTCTATCCATAGGACCACCACCGTTGATATCCCCACAAAGTGGTACCACTGGAGGGGGAGAGGAATGATGATGGGCCGAGTCAAGCCACCCACCCCAAACCTTGAGTTGAACTCGCGACCTTCTGACTGCTGCTGCGAGGAGCTGAGCCGCCTGGATAAATATTACTAGTGGGGGGGGGGGGGGGGGGCACTTGTGAGTGTTCTCGATGGGGGGTTCATCTGTGGGGTCCGCGAGCCCCCCCACCACCTGCCTCCCCCTCCCCCCTCAGACACTGGGGACCGCGCTGGCAGCGATGACGCAGCTCCTCGCGAATGTCTCCGCCTCGCATTCCTCGCATGCGGCGGGCGTCTCGGCTGCGCGAGCCGGGGGCGTGCGGTCATCGCCACGCACTCCACTGCTGGATGAAAGCTCTGTCCGCCGTCATGGGGGCGGTGGCGGTTGTTTGAACAAACCTGTCGCTCGCCGTCCATGCGGGCCGTGGCCGGGAGTCGAACTCGGGTTTGTTCCGGGCTTCTTCCTCGAGCGCCGCTGTGCCAACTGCTGTACCACAAATCAACCGCAGATGCAGCCTGACCACTGTGCAGCCCCCCCCCCCCCAACTCGGGGTACTCGGTGGGTCCTGGAGAGACCGCATGATGCCCCCCCCCCGCCCCCCCCCCCTTGAGTGGCGGGGCTGGACAGGGCAGCCTCAGTCGGGGTACCAATTTGCGGTGGTACCTCGCCTCTGGTACCTCGCCTCTGGTACCTTGCCTCTGGTACCTAGTCCCTGGTACCTGCCGGCGCAGCTGCCTTGCCTGTGACGCCACCTTGAAGTCGCCTGTGAGCTCCTCGCTCGAGTTTGGGTTGCGCTGCTCGGGGGGTCGAGGTCCTCCCCCGAGTCTCCTCGACCCCCAAGTTTGGTCGTCTTCCTAAAACGCTCTCCCAGCTCTTCTGGGCGGTCCCAGTGCCAAGTGCCAGTCGGTTGACCTCTCTGCCCTTTCTATTCTGAAGGAGGGCCATTGCCCGAAACGTCAGCCCGTTGTGTATGGTGTGTGTGTTATAAGGCAGCGTTAGCGACGAACGCGGGGAGTGAGTTTTTCGTCACTTGTACAGTTTATTTATTTGCATTTAGCACTTTCAAAATTCCGCCCGCGTCGTTCCTCGAGGCGAAACGCCTCGGTTCTTCAGGGGCCCCGGGCCGCGGCGCTCCTCTGGTGGGGTTCGAGCGCCGCGGCCGATGTCGCCTTCATGCCGATGTCGCCTTCATGCCGATGTCGTGCCCCGAATCCATCCCCGATGTCAGTGGCATTGTTTCCGATGTGGATCGTCACTGCGGATTTCACGTCTTCACATCGTCAACAACAACAACAACGTGGATGTTGTGCACCGAGCTGCTGCGGCGTCGTCGTCTCTGCAATCCGCGTCACGCACGATCGTCGACGAGGAGCCGCAGGCGAGCGGCGAAGTCGGGAACCCGGCGACGATGAACCAGCGCTGACAACGAGTGCCCCAGCTCTGCGGTCCCCTCGATATATTCAGAACATTTTCGGCCAATGAATGAGTTTGTATGTTTGAGAGAAAACCGGAACACCCTGAGAAACCCCACGAGTACGAGGGGGCAACATCCGATCCCGTGCAGAAGTAACAGATGGGTCGTCAATGGACCAAACCCATCGATTTTCATTAAAATGTTTTCACACAAAGCAGTTCACGTTGTGTTTGCCGAGTGGTCGGGTGAGTGAGTGAGTGCAAGTGGCGTAGCTATCGGGGGTACAGGCGGTACGACTGCACTCGGTCCCAGACGCCGGGCTGCGAGAAGGGGCTCACGGGCGCCCAGGGAGCTCGCCGTGCTGCGCCACCGAGTGGCAGCAGCCTGAGAGGGTGAATGAGTTGGCTCCTGGGTGGGTGACTACTGAGTTCGTGACGAGGAGTGGTGCCGGCACGAGCGGCAGGCGACAGACAGCGCCTGCCGCGCACGACGATCGCCCATCCGAGCACCGTGCAGGCTCGCGCCCTGCTTAGCCTCCGAGGTCGGGCACATTCCGGGTGATTTGATGGATGCCATCTTCACTGTGGCGACGTCGTGTTACATCACGAGGCGTTGAAGAGTGCCCCGCGGAGCCACGATGGACTTCTGTTCATCTCCAAGTCGCCCTCAATGCGCCCCAACCCCCCTCGCTGTTGAGACTGCTCTGTGGGGTGGCCAGCAGATGGCAACACATCGATGGATTCGTGAATCCGTTTGTGCGGAGCTTTTGAGGCGTCGCCCTCTCGTGTGCAGAGCACGCTGCTGGCGCCTCGCTCCTCTCGCGCTGTTTGCGTTTTAACTTTCTCAGCCGCCCCTACCGGATACGTCTGAAAAAGAGCTTCACAGCTCGTCGGGTTTCTCCAGGATGAATGAAGACTATAACTCTGATAGTGGCGGTGACGTCGCTACGGCGCTCGTGCCAGGCTAGGTGCACTTTGAGGCCACGCGAAGTGTCGAAGGCTCGGCCCAGCAGGTGCCACGGGTCGACTCTGGCGACCGGCGGATGCCACCGCCCGTGTCCCCCACTGTGCCAACTGCGCACTTTATCCGCCCGGCGCCCCGCTCGTTGTTGTGAGCGTTGTTGTGCACGGAGACGACCCCACCCCGTGAATGCAGAGAGAGAGGAGAGCCAGAGGGCTGCTGCCCGCACTCGGGGCAGCCACCGCCGCCGCCGGTGTCTCAGCGGCCGTGCCGGCTCGACCGGTCTCCGGCTCGCAGCGCTCAGAGCCAAACTCCGCGGCGATGACGGAAACAAAACGAAGACGGCGACGACGACGATGAATAAATAAATACCGAGGTGAGTGAGTGAGTGGTGAGGAGGAGGAGCCGGGGGGGGGGGGGGCTGCGGCCCCCGTGAGGCGGCGCGGGTCGAGGTCACGCCGCAGGAATGAGGCCCCGACCGGTTCGGGGACCAGGGACCCCCTAGAGAGACCCTCTAGAGAGACCCCCTAGAGAGACCCCCTGCAGAGACCCCCTAGAGAGACCCCCTGGAGAGACCCCCTGCAGAGACCCCCTAGAGAGACCCCCTACAGTGTGGGGCTCCGGAAACTCCAGACCCCAGCACCCAACCACAGAGCCCCCTATTCCGCCAGGCACCTTACCCCCCCCCCCGCCTCCTCCGTGTACTCTGCAGGCTGCTGCACCCACCACTGCACCCACCGGGTGCGCTGCATGTCGAGGCTGAGTCAACCTGCGGCGTCAATCGCCACTGACGTCAGCCGTGGCACAGCAATCGATCCCAGGTCGCCGGGTTCGAAGGGCGGCGCTGCGCTCTGCTCCACCGCTCCCCACGCTGCCTCGCCCGGAGCCCAACCCAGCCCCGCCGCCCGGAGCCCCGAGGGGACCCCACTGGGGCCCCCGGTTTGGACCCCTGCCGCTCCTCGTTAATGAATCTCCCGGGCGTCGTCAATGATTGTCGGGCGCGTGTGGAGGGGGAGGAGCGGGTCCGTGCCGACACGGGGGGGGGGGGGGGGGTCACGGAGCGAGCGACGCACCCGAGCCACCGTCACATCAGCGTCCTCGGCGTCAGCAGACATCATCACAGACGACAGCCGTCATCATTACATGTAGTTACTCCACTCATCGTTCAGTAAAACGCACGGTTATAATCATCACATAGTAACAGCAATCATCATCAATTACCATCATCAACGCTGACAACCACTACCACCACCTCCATCGTCACCACCACCACAATCGACCTCTTCACCACTGAAACACGAGGAGCGACCAGCACAATCCTCTTCCTCCTGCTCCGCGTGGCTCCTCCGTGCCCAGTCGCTCCTCTCCCTGCGGCCGCCGCGTGGCAGCTCGGCAGGAGATGGCTCCACGTGCCGCTCCCCAGCGCCTCCTCCTCCTCCTGCTGCTCCGCGGCTCCGCGGCGCGACCCCCGCTGCTGCTGCTGCTGCTTCTTGTCGGGTGGCTCGGCTCCGTGCGCGCGGTGCCATTGTCCGAGGACGGAGGCGACTACCACAACCACCACAACCACCACAACCTCTCCAACTCGGCGTCGTCGTGGTCGCCGTCGTTCGTCCACCACGACTACGAGGCGATGGTGCGCGCACTCAGGGCCGTGGCGTCGCG